GAACGGCACAGTGGCAGGTAAGTCATTCAAGGTCTTACAAGACAGGGCACAGTTCTTGCTAATTGGCCTGGCAGAGTTTGGAGACTGTTTCTGAGTCAAGGTCTTGTTTGGAGAGCCGGGAGAGGGAAGGTGTGGGGGGGTGGGGGGGCTCTCGTCGCCATCTTTCTGGAAGTCTGGCTCTGATGGACGCTAAAGTCATCCCAGGATCTCCGTGATTCCCTGTGTGGCTCTGAGGGGCTGGAGACTGGTGTCTGTAACCAAGGCCATGGTTAGGCCAGGTGACTGCAAAGCTACTTTGCTGGCTGGGAAGGGCTGGGCCAGGGTTCTTCGCTCAGTGGCTCAGGAGCTGGAAGACTAGAATTCGCAGCAGATCAGCTCCACTGCCATTGGTTCATGTCTGGATGTGAGCTGTGCCCATGCTCCGCAGAAACTGCTGGACGTTAAACCCCATAGTGAAGTTAAGAAATCGGCGTGCAAAAGAATGTCTGTGGACGAGGCTGGGCTTCAGGGGTACCCTTGGGAGCTGGGACCGCCCCCCAAACATGAGTCAGTAAAAGCCACAGAATCATGAGACCCACCGGGATCCCAATGGGTGGTACAGTGAGAGCCCTCAGTTTGTGAGGAAAAGTGGCCTTCCAGGCTGCCGTGGTGGTGTTCAGTGGCTAATCACCATGCAGGTTGGTAGGTGGTGGTGGGAGAGGCTCACAGCCCCCCACCACCATCAGAGCAGGAGCCCCCAGGGCTTCCTAGGTGGCCATCTCTGGGGGAGCAGACAGCCAGTTCTTTTCTCCTCTAGGGTGCTGGGTGGGGTTCTCAGTTAGCAGCCACCATTCAGCCCCTAAGCCCCAGGGCTCCCAGCTAAGACTTAGTTCACCCCTTACATGAGCCAGGCCTGATGCTCAGGGCCATAGGAGATCACCTTGTTCGTTCATCCCTTAGAACAGGGCGGTGGTGGGGGACTTTCACATCCAGAAACGGAGGCAGATGGCAATCAATTCGTGTCAGCTGGCTAGGAAGTGGGGGGCCCGGGGTTGGACCTCACTCAGCCACACAGTCTGGCTCAGGCAGGGCTCTTTGTTGGCTCACAGGAGTGAGCTGGTCAGTTTCCCCTGAGCTGGGCAGGGGCTAGTGGCCCTAGGCACCCAGGTGGACCACCACATTTACCCCCCTAGAGGGCTCAGTGGACCACATCTAGCCTCCTCCTGACTCTCCCTGGACCAGAGTTTGCCCCAGCACCGGGCTCTTCATCAGCTTTGGGAAAGATTTCCATCCGCACTGTTCCCAGGACCCCAGGAAGGAGCCAGCCACCCACAGCTCCCCCCTCCCCACCCCTCCTGGGAAGGCTGAAGAGTGCAGGTGGGGGGTGGGGGTGGGGGAGCACTGCCCGGGGAGTCAGAGAAACCTGGGATGCCAGTCTGCTGCTTCCTCACCCCAGAGACAGCTTCCCAAGGGTCCCACCATCACACACAGTGGGGGGACCTGGGGAGGGTCTGCAGGCAGACCACTCACTCAACACTTCCTTCTTCTTCAAGGGGCCAGGTGTCCAGAGGGGCCTTCAGCGTGAGTGAGGGGGCCTTCATCTGTGTGCAGGCCCCCTCTGAGCCTTGCTTTTGTATTTAAACCAAGCTGAACGACGCCCCCCCCCTACCCGCCCCCGCACCCCACTCCGTGACCAGCAAAAACCTCATTGCTTGGATACAAAGTTAGCAGCCCGAGGCTTGAGCAGTACACCACCAGCACCCCTTCTTGACTCATCTCTAGTGAAGTGGTACAGATATGGATACCGACTGACTGATCAATCGATAGATCGGGTAGATAGATGACCACAGATCCCGCCCCTGGCAGCGGGTCCCCAGCTTCTCCCCACTTTCCTCAGGAGCCTTTGCTCCCATGCAGGATCCCCTGGGCAGCTGTTACCCTGCTGCCCTGAAATGGCCTAGCTGATTGTCTTTCACGTGTGAGATGCTCAGGACAGGGCTGTGCCCGCAGCCCCATATGGCTCCTGCCCCCCACCCCCAGGACACTCAACACTGGTTTGTTGATCAACACAAACAAGACAAGAGAGCCGTGGGGTTGTCGGAGGAGCGGCTGGCTACCAGGGTGGTAGTGCAGTCCATATTTCAGTGTTCTTTTTAAATTTTAAATAAGATCACAGTGACCCCGATGGGTGGCTTCCCACAAGTTTCCTGGGCCTCCTACTCAAAGTCATACCATGTGGCCAGAGAGGTGCACCACGGCAGAGAACCAGTAGCCCAGCCATCACAGAGACCAAATCTCAGGCTGAGAAGGAAGCCACCAGGCCACCGACGGCTGGCCCATTGCTACTCGGGAAACCACTGGAAGGCAGTGAGTCTGCGTTTATAGAGCCACTATGAGTTAGGATGGGTTTTAAACTGCTACCACCCCCCTTTATCCATGGGTAACACTGTGATGGCTTATGTGTGTCCATGGTGCTGGACACTGTGTCATCAGTATTCTAAACAGTAGCAGGTCACCGAGGCTGAATGGCTTTGAGCAGAGCTTCCAGACTAAGGTAGACCAGGAAGGCAGGCCATCGACTTCGAAAAGCCGGCCAATGGAAACTCTATGGATCACAAAAGAATACTGTCTGAGCAAGTGCTGGGAGATCAGCCTGCAGGTTGGACGGTGCACAAAGCCACGCAGTAGCCGGGACAATGGATTCCAGAATGCTGACGACCGTGCAGAGCAAGCAGGTCTGGGCCACATTCCACTCTGTGGTACGTGGATGTGGTCCCCAGGGTCAGAGCAGACTTGATGGCCACTAACAAAACCAGGCTGGGACAAGTTGTCCGAAGGGCAGTTAGAACTCTGAGGGTCAACGGACGTGGGACCAGGGCAGCGTGGCGACGGGGCAGCTGAGGACTACCTGCTGAGTATCTGCTGATGGCTGCTCCAACAGGTGTCTCCTCAAGCTGGCCGCTCACAGGGAAGGCAGCCGTGCCTCCAGCTGCGGCTCTGTCTGCCGTCAGCTAACGGCCAATGCGTGATACTGATTAGCAGACCCCAGAAAACAGAAAACCAGCAACCCTTGTTACTCCTTCGCTTGGTTCAATAAGCAGTTATTGAGCATCTGCTCTGAATCAGGCATGTGGGATTTCGAGATTAATGAGGAGATATGGTCCCTGACTTCAAGGGCCTGGTAGGGGAGAGAATTGCAATCTATGCACTCACTTGCTCACCCACTCACGCATACATATGTATCTGGACAGCTCATCCAAGCTTCTCCTTTCTGATTCTCTCGAGTCTCTGGAGGGGTCAGGCTGACTTAGAGGGGCATTTCAATGCTTGATGATGACACAGTTTGGGAGACGGTAAGGGGCCCTTTGGGAACTGGCACCCCCTCTAGGCAGTCTGCCACTCAGTGTTGGGATCCAGTATCGTCTGAGCCGACCCCGGGGCACAGGGACAGTTGGCAGCCTCACATGCACATCTAGCAGACACAGTGAGCCTGGAAGAAACTTTGCTGCCCTCCTGGTACACCCCCACCCCGTTTTTTGGCGATTTTCTCATGCAATCTACTGGACCGTACCCTCGGATCGCTGTTATGCCGGATACACAAGGTCCCACGGACTGCCAAGAGAGCAAATACATGTTAGAAGAAGTACAACTTGCTCCTTAGAGGCCAGGATGGTTAAGAGTTTGTCTCGTGTACTTTGGACATATCGTCTGGAGGGACCAGCCCCTCGGGACGGACCAGCCCCTGGAGAAGGACATCACGTTTGGTCTGGTGGAGGGGCAGTGAAAAGAGGAAGGCCCTTGACGACATGGAGTGGCACTGTGGCCGCAACAGTGGGCTTACACGTAGCTTTGAAGAGGGCACAAGACTGGGCGGTGCTCCATACACAGGGTCCCTCTGAGCCAGCACTGGACCATCGTTCTACTCTGCCCCAGGGGGTTCTGGGAGGTGGAATCCACTCAAGGGTGTGGGCTTTGACCTTTGGCGGTTGTTTCCGTTGTCTACCAGGGGTAGTAGGGTGGGTGGTGGACCGAGCAGAGGGGATGGGACCTTGCAGACTGAGGTCCCCACTTGGAAAAGCTCAGAGATCAGAGGAGGGATAATCCAGCAGCCTTGCGCTAACAGACTACATCAAATGACTCCTGCATTTCAACGGGAAGACCTGGCTGCTCTGCAGGGTCTTTGAGAAAGCAGAAGGAACCCAGGCAGCTAGATGGAAGAAGGTGGGTGGCGCTCGGGCTACACCCCTCCCTCGAGGTAGACCACCGAGCTTGTCCCCTGGAGAGTAACGTGGTGGCATGTATTTGTTCTCCTGTGTGTGGCTCCTGACACTGCTCTTCGAACAGCTGCTGGAACTGGTTTCTAGAGGGTCTGTCTCTCTTCTGTGTGCCTCATCTGATTACTGGGTGGATGAATGGATGGCCTGCACAGGCAGCCAGCGTTGTCTTCCTTCATCAACAAAGAAGAGTGATAATTCCCAGGGTTCCTGGGGGAGGGACCTCACAGATCATTCTGGGAGCGCTCACCTTGATTTTGTTATTTGTAAACAGAATGAGGGAGCCCGTTTAAGTGATGTTGGAAAACCCAACCTGGGAAGACCACACACCTCCCCCTCCTGGGGGCCAGCTGCCTGGTTTAAGAGTTCAGTCTTTGGCAAAGCTAGATCTTGTCCCAACCCCCTCTTAAAGTCACCCCTACACAAGTGGCAGTGCTTGGGGCCCTGACAGGTGATTCACACGGCTCTATCCTGAAGCACCAATACCCAGTGGCTAGTCCCTTTATGGGCATGATGGGTCCCTTAATAACCATGGCAACCTCCCTTCCCCTGTGGCTCTCCTGGCTCCCCTGGCCTCAGTCAGGCCAGTCTCTTCCAGAGTGAAGGGCTATGGGTAAGTGAGTGACACTGCTCAGTGACACACAGCGGGGCTCCCCTCGGCAAGGTCTAGA